CACACACACACACACACACACACACACACACACACACACAGGACTGTGACCTGGTTGTGCCGATTGATTGAGTTAGGCTCCGAGCAGAAGCCAGGGGAAAAACGGGGTCGAAAGGGCCGAAGCGTCCCAGAGGGGGGTAGCAACTACATGTATGGGATACTTTTTTTGGGGGGGGGGGGGGGAATAAAGAGGGGAGGGCGCTCTTTAGCTGTCATTTCACCACAGCGTCTTTTCCATCAGAGCAGGAGAGCAGGGCCAGAGGGAAGGTCGGTACTCGCCTGGAGTGGCTGGTGGACAGTGGGAGAGGTGAATTTAGTTTGGGGGGGGCTGATGGATCTGAAGAGCAAAGAAGGGAGGGGGGGGGGCAGTCGCTGTAGGGTGGTGTGTGTGGAGAGGGGGGGTCCACTCTGCATTTCTTGATATTGCATTCAACATGGACGATGTTACAGTAGTCACTACCATGTGTTTAACATGGCTAAACTCAATGTCTCAATGATTATTTTAGGCCTGAACAATAGCCACTCATTAAAGATTATATAGTATTTGTTGCTCTTTAATTGTATTGATTTTAGTGGAGGTTATAGCCCAATCGAATTGTCTTAGTCCTATATGATAGTAAATGAGTATCTTTGTAGTTTTGGTCTGTTGGTGGGACAAAACAAGACATTCGAAGACATCACCTTGGACCGTGGGAAATCATAACTGGCATTTTAATCAGATTAAGACAAAGGAAATAATTGTTAGCTGAAGCCATTCTTTTAATTTATGACCAAATACCGGCAAAAACAAATCCCATTCCCATCAGCCTCAGCTGCTGTGCTTTTAGTGCTAATTAGCATGCTAAGAAGCATAATAGCTTTGTCATTGTGAGCATGCTAGCTTTAAAGGCACTGCTGTCCCTGGCATGCTAACACACTATAGGATGGTTAACACGGTAAACATTACACCCGTTTAATATCAGCATCTTCTCACAGCGGGCGTTTGTATTTCATAAACATTAAAGATGGCTGCTCTCCGTTTGAGGGAGGTCGTGGTATAGTGGATGCTGGCTAACTGCGACACTGAAGCATCGTTAATGTTATCAAGTTCACCTGTGCTGTTCCTACCGTCCTGATTAAAGAGGACGTAGGAAAAAGATGTCTATGTGACAGCTTTCTGAACAGTTTTTATATTCAGAACAGGTCCCAGCCTCCTGTGCCTCAGGCAACCGATTAACTATACATACAGCTGAGTCATAGCATTACCAGCAGGATATACACCCTAGCATGACACAGTTGACACCTAAATAAGGGTGTTGGGTGAACAAAATGAGTCAGTGAGCAGTGAGGCCTCCGTGGCTCTCCCTCCGACTAAGCTGCCCGGTCACTCGCACTCACACACACACACACACCACCTTTAAAAAAGGGAGAAGGGGGAGACAGGGGGGAGGAAAACCAATCCCACCTCTGCCCGAAACCGACGACAGCCAGCACCAAACCCCCAGGAAGGGAAGAGGTTAATAAAGTAGACTGCAGAATCAGGCGACGAATCACTTTAATCCCCCTTCCCCTCCCTCACAACTGGCGATCCCTGAGCTAGGATGCACCTGTGCTGGGGAGATAAGGCCCTCTGAGGGCCCCTCATTGTTCCACCCTCGACTGCATTGTTTGTCATTCCAACAGATGAGAACGTAGGCTGGAGTGGATCACAACGAAAAAATGCACAAGACTCTCACACAGGCGGTAAAAAAAATATACTTAAAACGCAATATTATTTAAAAATGGGTAATTCTGCTTCTGATGGAGGGAATTGATTTAAGCAAAACATGAGCGATGGTCCCTAGAATCCCCCCTAGTTGTTTTTTATTTGGCTAAATATAAAAATAGAATGATATTCCCTTTGTTCTGGTGGGATTTGCTTGGATAAAAAATGACCTCACTGGCTTGTGTGAGGCTCCCTTTTGGTACTTGAGTGGGCACTTAGCCAACACGTATTGATCACCGATGAATTGACAAATTCTTGCGAGCAGGGCAACAACTGACGGTTATCTTCCGCCAGAGAGCAGGGTGCAAAAACACCAATCGATTACCTTCTCGATTAATGGATTAGTCTATGAAATGTACATCAGAGTTTCCCAGAGTGCAGTGCGAGGTCTTTAAATGTTTTTACCGACAGAAGATATTTAGCTTACTATCAGAGAAGCTTAGAAGCTGGAACCCCCTGAAGTGAACATGCATGTGTTTAGTGTACGTGTAGGATACATGATTCTTACTCTGATGTCGTTGCGTCGCAGCTCCACGTCCGTGACCGCGTGGCCGTGGCTCGGGTGGCAGCGGGCGAAGCAGCAGTACTGGCACACCGCCGTCTGCTCGGCCTCGCAGTGGTACAGCCTGTACTCGTCGTGCTGCAGGCAGGTCCAGGCCTTCACCGCCTCCGCCTCCACCAACAGGTGCCCGAGGGCCGAGCACGGCTGCTGCAGGTGCGTCTGGACGTGGGACTGGCAGCACGGGGCGTTGCAGCGCAGGCAGACCTTCACGGCGGGCAGCGGCGGGCCTCGGCGGCACAGGATGCACTGCAGCGCCGGCGCGGCTGGCTTCTCCACGCTCAGGGCGTTGTACTTCTCCACTATGTTGGACAGCTTGTGGTTCTTCTCCAGGCTGGGCTTCTGCGCGTACGCGTGGTTGCACTCGGGGCAGCGGGCCAGCAAGGACTCTTTGGCCCAGGCCTCGCTGATGCAGCCCCGGCAGAAGTTGTGCTTGCAGGGCAGCTGGATGGGATCTGAGAACACGTGCAGGCAGATGGGGCAGATGAGCTCCTCCTCGAAACAGTTCCTCCACGTCTCAGCCATGTCAGAGGCCATCATGGTGCGGGCAGGCATACACTAACGGTTCCCCCGCTTCTACCAGACCTCGAGGCCTCTCTGTCCTCGAAGGAAAGCCGACTCTCAAAACGAGCCTTGAGGGGAAAAAGATTTTTAAAAAAGCAAAACCCCTCCCTCGATGCCGCCCTGAACGATCAAGCCTGTATATTTCAACCCTTTGTGACCAAATCAAACGAGACTCCCTGACAGGTGACCAGTATTGCTTATTGCTGCAGCATGAAGGCAAATATCCAGAAAATTGACCAGAGAAGGCTTCAGGGAAAGGATGACAACACCTCGGAGATTTCAACACACACAGCAGGATCTGATGTTACACAGATTACAGTAAACGGTGCTTTCCTTTCCTCTAAAATCACACACACACACACATACACACACACAGGGCCTTCTGTGTGTTTATAGGCCTACAGGAAGCTAAAAGCCTGTCAACTACAGGTACAGCAAGCAAGGCACAGCTAACTTAAACATCTACATAATGACTTCTATGATCACGAGGCGAATCAATCTCTGTGTAGCACATGAAAAAACACCTGATCCTTTTTTTTTTTTTGCTGCTGCCTGCTCAGGCCCTTTTACCTTGAGAGCTTCCTTCACTCCAACGTCGGATTATGATTGACTGAGGACCGGTTCAGACCAACAAACCACGAGAAACAGGACCGCTTCAGTCCAGTCCAGTCCAGTCCACACCCCTGATTACTATTCACACAAAGACAGTCTTTTAAAAACAACAACCCTGAATCTGTATTTATCTGGACCTCAAGGACGCTTGATTCCGTCAATAATCTCGGCGCAGCGCGATGCTTTTGTCCGCTGAATCATAAATAAGTATCCGAGGAGCCTCCACCTGCAGTTTAATTATACATACAAGCAGCGACGCTTTGGCAGTAGACAAGAAATGCTGTTTAACGACTGTTTAACCCTTTAATCTAACATAGAAGCGACATTTCTATCGGATGAATACCGCCTGCTATGTGGAGCTCCGCTCGCATATCTGTACACAAGGCCTCTCTGCTTTTTTTTTTTTTTTTTTTTTTTTTCTTCCCTTACCAGGTTTCTGTCGACAACAAAAGGCTTTTTAATCTGATTAAACATAAAATAAAGCATCATACCGGAGCCATCGTTTGGAGCCTGTTTACTGCATAGTTAATCGTTTTAATAGTCGCGTCACAAAACAAAGGGTTTTTAGGATCCGCAGGAATGTTGGCTTCTGTTGCAGAGGCACATCTATCAAATATCTCCTCGCGCACAGATTATTGTTACAATGTATCCAGCTCGTGTCCTCTTTGGCCTACACCTTTACGCACCTCAGCCTTTAGACAACAACATATTTATTCTACTTCCTTATCTGGATTAAATGGTGTAAATTACCTTCAGACGTCACCTCACCATTTTCTACCACAGCACAGGTACAGATAAACACTAGATCAACCGGAGAGGACGGTCATTATTTATGTGAAGCAGCCATATTTTTTTATATGTTTTTAACTAATTAGAAATACAACCAAAAAAATAAATAATACCCTCCTAATCTTAAAGGGGACGTCGCTTTTCTGTCCTTGTTAGGGGTAGCTGTCATCAGCCATCTTGCAAATCCTCATTTAAAGAGAGAAAGAAAAAAGGAGATATCCGCCGAGAAGAAGCTGCTTTTTGATAGCTGAGCTACACATGCACGTTAACGGCAAAGTCCCGTCGTTATTAAAGGGAAAAAACGCCTTTTTCAGGGTCGTTTTTGTAGGTCCAACCGGAGCAGGATTGACGAGGGTATTCGTTCGTGGCCTTGTCCGGTGTGAGTCGACTGGTTCTTTAAAATCCAACACGGTAGAGAATAATAATCGGCGTTTTCTCTCTCCCCCCTCTTTTCTTTCTCTGTCTCTATCGGTCAGGCTTTAGAGAGAGGAGGAATGCAGCCGAGCTGGACTGGTCTCGAACCAGCGTCAAGACTACCGGTGGAACGGACCACTTCTGGTGACGTTTTTCAAAATAAAACCTCGGGGTTGAGAGCAAAACCTGAGGTCAAACTGAGTTAAGCCAATTAATCATTCAGATTTCAGATACAATTATACGTTTTATCTATATTTTATACATGCATTTTATAGTTTGAATACATCGTTTTCATGGGTGATGTAAGTACGGATATTTACTCAAGTACTGTAGGCTACTTACGTATAAATCAGAGGTACTACTACTACTACAAATAATGATAATAGGGCTAGGAGTGTTTTCATTGTATGCAACTTTACACCTCTACTCTGCTACATTTGTCTACTTTTCAGATTACATTTTTTATCCCCTTCCTGTCCAGTAAGAACCATGAATCTGCAAATTTGATGATTTTAAATGTTTGTGACTAACTGAAGAAGGAAGTTCCTTTGTGTGTTGCGAAAAATCTCCTACTTCTTAAGCTGAATAAACTATAAAAAGCCTCCTCATCAGCTGATAAACGAAGCTGAAAACAGGGCTTTTTTTCTGAGCTTTTTTTAGAGATACATGATTCTCACAGGACAGCGACGCTGCAAATATATATATCCACAGAGCTGTTTTCTCTGCAGTGAAAAATCATCGAACAATACCATGAAGGCAACGCTGTTCATCAAAGGGGTACGATGAGTCCATCTGATATGTTAATGGGGTATGTCAGGGGGAAAAAAAGAGAGAAAGGACTTTATATTTAATAGAATAAAGCCGCATCATTCTACTTAAATTTAATATTTAAACTGATAGGAAAGCATCTGACTGGTTTATGTGAACAATCCCAGGTTGAGAAGTCTGTTTCTTTAATATATTCAAGGATTGTGGTCAATTGGGAGGCTGGACTTCAATCAGGACATGGCAAGTGGTTCATTAATTTCTATTAGACAGATTATTAATGGGTAGGGTTTTATCTCTAGTCCACACCTCTAAGCAAAATGGGGTGTAATGTGCCCTAGTATGCACATTTTAAAACAGTAAGCCCATGAATTTCACAGTACGTTCATTGCTTTATAACGTTTACCTTTCATGTAAATGCATGTACATGTATGTCTGTATATATGTATGTTAGAGTCTTTGTGAACATATATTAGTAGTTGTTGAATTTTAATGTACAAACAAGTAATTAAATAAATGCACCAGCCTTAGAAGTAGGCACAGGGGTAACAGCTAGTCATTTTAGGCTTTTGTAATTTCATATAATTACTTGTGGGCCTTTTATGGACCCTCTCCAGCTGTGAGGCTTTTCCCTCCACTACATTTTATTTACATGCTCCATTAGTAGCTTCACACATTATGTAGGAAGGAAAAGCTCCACGTCACCTGGAGATGAAGCCAATCCACCAGAACAGCAAAATAAATGTATATTTGAACATCTCAACCACACCAAACAATGCATTATTTCATTCAGAATAAAACTTAACCAGGCTTCACAGTGGTCTAAGGACCCCACGTGTGACTGCAGTGTTTCCCAATAATGTTTGTTTGAGAGGGCAATATTGAATGTTATGGTCATTTTAGAGGCTGTAGTTATAGTGAGTTGTAGGCCTACTGAGAGGGGATTCTAATATTAAATATAACTTGAAGCTAAAACAAGGAACTTTCATTTTGTGTGGATTTTACCACAGAAGTGGTAGTGTTTCCAAGCACCAGAATAATTTAGATAACCTGTAATTTTACTGCAGCAGGTTCTGGTTCTCCAGCAGCGTGGTGTTGGAGATAACCTGTAATTTTACTGCAGCAGGTTCTGGTTCTCCAGCAGCATGGTGTTGGAGATAACCTGTAATTTTACTGCAGCAGGTTCTGGTTCTCCCGCAGCGTGGTGTTGGAGATAACCTGTAATTTTACTGCAGCAGGTTCTGGTTCTCCCGCAGCGTGGTGTTGGAGGAGCCGCTGCTGCAGGGCGCTGAGCTCTCCACCTCCCGCCAGGCACATCCCAGACAAAATATTGGCCCATGCTAACATGTTAGCCACACACCCAGTATTGTGATATCAACATGTTCCTGATGCATCTAAGTCACCAATAATCACTCTAATTTTAGCTTTTTGTTTTCGTTGTTTGATGTTCCACTTTCTCCACCAGCTAGTTGCTAACTTTGATTGTCTGTTTGAGGCTGAGCAGCCGGTTAACCAGAGCTTTTTGCTAAAAACAAGGTTGATGAGACCGATGACATTGGGAGTGAACCGTAAATGTCACATGGCATCAAAAGTATGGAGGTAAAAGAGGCTAATGGATGATAATACTCTGTGGTCGTTTGATTTTGTGTTGTATTTATAGGAAAATAGTGTCTTACTAATGTCTCAATACAAAAAGGTGCACATGTAAAAGCAGGGATTGCATCAAAGCTACAATATTTGAGCTTTATTCTGAAGCTGAACCACCGAGCTTCCGGTATGAATCAGTCTGTCTCTGGCTGACCTGACGCAGTTTCTCGGCAACATCAGCCACCCCCACCTCCTTCCTCCCTCCCTCCCTCCCTCCTCCTCCTCCTCCCTCCCTCCTGCCGGATCAATGCTACCGTCACGTGACCTGTCACACAACTGATGTGTGTCACGTTTTAACCGGGAGGAGCTGTGGGACGAACCGGGGAGGAAGGGCAGGAAATCATACTTAAAAGACTTGCTGCATTTATTAACGGGCTGGACGCTCATAGTGGTGCTCTGGGGCAATACTATCCGTCTGCCTGCCTGCATGTATGTATCTGCATATGTATTGCAGGAAATTTGATCTGTGTACTAATATTTCCTTTAGAGACTAAAGGTGGTATTACACTTTTATGGACACAAAATGTAATTCTGAATTATCATTTAAACAGTCAAAACAAACAATATGACATTTCATTCTAGTGGTGCTGGAAGAAGTATTTAAACACTTTACTAATGTAAAAGTACCAATGTCACGAAAATACGCAGTAATGTACTGTGCTTAAGTACAATTTCGAGGTATTTTTTTTTCTCTCTTCTGCTTTATACTTCACGACACAAATGTACTTTTTACTCCACTTAATTTATTTGAAAACATTGGTCGCTTTTTAAATTCAGATTAAAAATACAAATAATAAATCAACAAATAAATTACAATCTATTATCAAAGGATGAGATAAAACTTTATTGATCCTCGTGGGTGAATTCATACCCTGCAGAATAATAACTTCTACTTCTCGTGCGTTAAGTATATTTTGATGTTGACTTGTAACAGAGTATTTTTATACTCCAGTATTGCAACTTTTACTAGAGTAAAAGATCTGAGTACTGCTTCCACAAGTATCGAAAGTAAAAGTATGTATTTTACAATTGGAGAAGAATATAGTCAGTCAACAGAAAAATATGGAAAATACAAATGAATAAAAATGGAAATACTTCAGTAAAGAACAAGAACCACAAAACATGTACTTAAGTACACTCATCACGACCTTTATCTAAATAAAGGTTTAAATACCACAATGTAGAAATACTCTGAACTACAAGTACACATCCTGAACTCAGAGTTTTACTGAAGTACAGAAGTACAAATATACTTAAATGATCAAAAGTACTCATGAAGAATATTTAATATATATTATGTTTTTTTTAATTACTACTATTGAAGCATTTACATGTCAGTATTAAGAAATGTAGCTAGTTTTAACTACATTATATGTTGTTGGGTTGTTTCATCTACAACAACAAACAACGTTTTTCAAAGTAAAATACAAATAAATAAATTACATTACATTCAGTGAAATGTTTAATTAAGGTTTAGCATTCCCCCATATATAAATATATTCCTTGTAATGTGGAGACCATATGCTTTAGACCATAACTAAGGAAGATGTACAAAACCTTTAAACCATATCTTTATTTTTTGGTGACTATTTTGAAATATTCAATGGACTAGTATCACTATAAGCAGCGTTTGAATGTCATATTGAGGTGAGTTTAAACTACTTTATAGTACTTCATCAGCACAGACACACATCAGAGAGAAAGTTCAAATACATTGCATATGTACTAATGCTAAACGCTACACCATGTCATATGCAGGTGGTTCTCTAATGCTTCCACATTGTTTTTTTATTTGAACATGTAAAGGAAAGCCCCGCAGAAGCAGGGCATCAAAAAATTTAGTTATACTCTTATTGGTCCTCTCCACGGAAATCTTTAGTAAAAGGCGAAAGATTTATGCGATCTGAATAGAACCAAGAGTGATCTGCCTGCTGACGGTCACTGAGACCGAACACTATCGCGGCAAAACCTTCCTCAGTGATGGTTTGCTGTTAATGTGACTTACACAACAACTCAAGTCACATGAAGTGCAAACAACGACACGCTGAGAAATCACAACACGACTGGATTATTATGTAATAGAAGAAAAAAACACGTTTATTTAACGTTGGTTAGCGATCCATTGCTGTGGCGCAATGCATGATGGGATTCGGGTAAATGAAGAAGTCAAATATTTTACTTCGGTTTGTTATTTTAGTTGATCTAAAACAGTAATCCATACATTTACAATCAAATGCACAACTACACGGTTAAGTTGGTTATTTTCAGCAGTTTTACATGTTCCTATTTTTATAAATAAATCTTATCGTAAGTTTCGGAAGGACCCGCCCCCTTCTCGCTCTCTCTCTCTCACACGCACACACACACACACACACACACACACAGTCAGGATCTTTTGATGAGGAATGAGGGGGTAAATGGTCTATACTGCCTATAAAGTAAAGA